CTCACTATCAATACCAATAAAAAGTTCGGCCGATGCCATGTTGTATCAGTAAAAAAAAAAAAAAAAAAAAAAAAAAAAAAGAAGATAATAATTTGATAGCAGATAACTCTTCTAACAAAAGCTCTCTTAACTTTGATTCTGCAGAAATTATTAGATCCAGTTTAAAAGATGTAAAAATGGTTGATGACACTATAAGCTTTTTATGACTTAGAGGAAGATTTAATACAAGAAATTTTATATCATCGATAAGTTTATGTATTATAAAAATTAATGATGATAGTAAGTTACAAAGCATACATCAAAGTGATAAATATAATGATGAACTCTTAAAAGTTTGACACTCAACAGTTATTTCTTGAAAAACTTCTTAGAAAATTTCTAATAATAACATTACAGAAGACAATACTTCCCTAAATACTAATACTGGTTCTCTAAATAATAATCATCATAACACTTCTATAAATATACTTATAAAAGAATATGATGATCCTTTAGAATAATTCATATCTGATTTAAATAATGAACAGAAAAAGGTTTTCTTTCTTATCTGTGATTATCATCAAAAGAACTATCTGATGAATAAAAATAAACTTTCGCAACTACTATTATTTCTCACTAGTGTGAGTGATATGAGTAAATCTAAAGTCATCAATGCTATCTGTTCTTACTTTGAATTTAATTCTCAAAGAAATACTCTTCTTGTTTTAGCTCTAACAGGAAGCACTGCTACTAAAATTGGAAGAAATACTCTTTATTCTGTATATGAATTTGGTTTTGGAGAATCTTTTAAAAATAGATATAGTTTATCTAGAGAATCATTATAGCAACTCAAGATTACTAGATGCTAATAGAGAATCTTATTATAGATAAAATTTCTATAATTGGTTAAAAACTCCTTGTTCAGCTTCATACTTTTATGAAAAAAGTAAAAGCAACAGATGACAATACCTCTTTCACTAGAATTAATATTTTGTTTGCTAGTGATTTTATGCAATTACCTCTAGTTTTAGACTCTGCCTTATACATACCAGACAGATTTACTCATATATCTACTCAATTTAATACATAGTCTATAACCAAATATCAAAGTTCTTTGAAATAAAAATCTTTATCAGTTAATACCCACTTTGTTGATAATATTATGAGAAGAAATCTTTGGCTAAATATTAAACATGTCATAATTTTAAAAAAACAAATACATTAATTAGATAATCCTAATTATACTTGTATTCTTAAAAGTATGCATAAAAAAAACCTCACAGTAGATTAAAGATCTATTTTGAATACTAGAATTCTTAAAGATAACTAAATTAGCTTATGAGAATGGAGAGATACTACTTTCTTTATAACAAAAAATGATCTCTATATTCAACTTAATCATAAATTAACAAGAGAACATGCTCATTATCACCATAACTTTTTCATATACTCTTTCATACAAGATTTATATAATCGAAAAATTCTTATCAGAAGCAACATCTTAAATTTTTATCAATACCTAATATAAAAGAAAATTCACTATATAGCATTTTACTATTATCAATTAACATAAGAGTTGTTATAACTATTAATATTCGTGCAAATAATAATTTAGTAAATGGTGTACAAGGAATTCTCTGAGAAATTGTTTATGATGAAGATTCTATCTATTTTTCATCACCTCATGATAAAATAATAGTGCTAAAAAGTTTACCAAAATATATTAATATCAAATTAATCAGTAAAGCATTTGGTTATTAAAAAAACCTTCTACTCAACTATGTGCCTATCTACTCGATTAAATGTACTTGTGTACACACTATCTGGAGACATGATAAATCAAAAATCTAAAGAAAATTTAAATGTTTTTAACTTCCTCTAACTCTTGCATTTGCATTTATAGATTTTAAATGCTAAGGACAAATACTACAAAAAGTGATAGTTAATCTTAAAAACAGTAATATAAGTAATAGTATATATATAATGCTTTCTCATATATAACGAATGAATGATTTATTATTTTTATGTCCTTTCAAAGAATCATTGTGAATATGCGATTGTCTCCTGCACTTCGTAAAGAATTTGATCATATTAAAGGATGTGCGAAACAAACTATATGATTAAAAGAATGCCTATATATTTAAACTTCATTTGATTATTTTATCTTCCTTTGAGCTTTTTTAAAGATATATGATTTTTAAGTTTTATCAATAATAAGGTAAAAATATTTTTTAATCTTTTATGATTAAACTTTTAGTGAATTAATTGATCAATTCTGTGGTGATTTGTATGTAATATATAATTTTATCACATTATAATAATATTCATTATTCGCATTTACTGCTTTTTTTAATAAATATTATAAACTTTTAGACTAAATTTACAATAATAATACTTGACAAAACTCACATGTCCTAATGAAACTATATAATTTTGTTATTTTGTCAATAAGAAAACTTATGAGTTCTGTCATATAATATTAAATCTTAAAAATTAAAATTTTATATATTAATATTCAATACCAAATGTACTGTATAATAATTTATTATATAAATTTTAAGTGTAATTTTAAAATTGAATTAGATTTAATATGAGCAGATTTTTTAATCCTATTTAATCTAATTATTTATATAATATTACATAATCTCTGCTAAATTATAATTAATATTGTATAATTTTAAGTAAATTGAATTTTATGATAATATTTGATTAATTAATTGCTTGCCTTAGCTATAATCTACTTATAAACCTGCTTATTAACTTGTATATTAATTATAAACAATCATTATATTTAATTTATTAATTGCTTTTCTTAACAATAATCACTTATAAAACTGATCACAAAATGTGTAAGATTTGAAAATCATCTATATTCATATTGTGAAATCTGTAATGTAACCAGGTTACATTCTCTTTCTCTCCATAAATTATTCATACTCTAGTCCTTTAAGTACAACAATTATAACCTGGTTTAGTTATCCAGTGAAGCTACATGCTACAGTAAATACAAATTAGGGTTACTCAGAAAACATTGGCAACTTCAGCAATATTGGTAACTTTGGTCACAGGGGTAATAAAGACCAGGAGAGATATGTAGGAGATATAAGTGTTAAGAAGAATAAAAATAATATAGGCATTATATCTCATATAAACTATATAGAAAATAATAGCAATATAGTCTCTGAATGTAAATAAAGAATTGTATTATAAATAAAGACCATGTTGACCTTTTGAGATGACATCAAATATCTCCTTTGCTTTATTAAATAAGTTTCTAATATCTAAAGTATAAATTCACTAAAACTCCTAACCATTGAACTCGTCATATTAAATAACTCTTCTCCCAATATATTGAAATGCTGTTCAGCTTTTATATTCTAACGTACTAGGATCAACTGTGGTTTATTCTTTCTAACTATCTGAAGTAGTATAATAGTTGTAGTTGTATCATTGATCCAATTACCTGAAGTAGTATGGTAATTGAGAATAGAATTAGTTAAAAATAGGTACAGAAGAAATTTAAGACAAGTAACAAAAGAAGACTTACCTATAAACATCCAAACTACTCACCAAATCTAACACACCTCTAACAACTAAGCTGTCTGTAGGTCCAGTAAATTAGTGTTGTTAGATATTGAGAGACAAGAACTGACTAATCACAATATTAAAAATTTTTTTATGTACATATAATTTATTTGCCAAATTATCTTACAAAGTTTTTTACAAAACTTGCATAAAGTTAGTTGATGTTTGCTTAGAACTAATATATTTCTAATTATTAAATCAAATATTTAAATTTTTTAATTTTTAAATTTGGTTTAAAAAAAGTCTACCATAAATAAGCAAAATATTCTATAAAGTTCAGAACTAATGCATAATATTATATTTAAATTATTCTTATGCAATAAATATTTCTAAATTATTGACTTATATTTAAATACAATGCAAATTGATAAATCCATAATTGTATTAGATAATATAACAACTATACCTTGATAACATTCTAGCAAGAAAATCTATTTTCTAGTTTTTTAATGCAAGTTCATATAACCAGTTTATTACAAAAGACTAATTCTATAAAATTAATAAGCTCGAACAAATTGAATTTTAGCTTTAAATTATATTGAATCTAAAATTAATAATTTTTTTATTGTTGGTTAGTCAGATCTATCTGATATATCCAGGTAATTAACACAAATCATCAAGTAATATCTGATTAGTATATCAAGAAACTGAGTATATATTAAACTAAAAATTAACTTCGTATTAATTAATTTGTTTTTATTATCATTATAAGATCGTATTTTAAATTTGTTATACAAAATACTAGAGTTGTTAATGGGTTGAGTTAGGTTGAGTTAGGTTGAACTAGTCCTAAACCTACTCTAACTTGGGTTGGGTTCACTTCAGAGCCACTTCAAACTTGCTTAGTAGTTGCTCTGGTTCACTTTAGTTTTACTTCAGATTTTTAGTTATAACTTTAACTCACTCTAACTTGAGTTGGGTTCACTCTGAAGTAGCTCTTGAATAGGCTACTCCATTAACAACTCTACAAAATACTTATTATTTAAGGATTTATAATTTTGTTTTGTTGATATTTCTGTATTTGATTGTGTAATATTATGTTGTTTTCCATGTAAAGGGTATATCTAAAGCAGAGTAAGTTACAAATCAATAAAATTATTATTAACTTTAGAGTTGAGGTTAGGCTAGGTTAGAATTAAGGTTAGCAGATATATAGGTAAAATTACTTTTTTGACATTTTTTATTAGTAAATCAAAACAGATTTAGATAGCTGTTTTTTGTATTTTTTGCGTTTTTCATTTTTTTTGCTTTATCAGACTAATCTGAGTTAATAAAAAATTCATAATTTAATTAGTTGATTCATATAATTCTACTCTGCTTTAGATGATCTCTATATAAAAACATTTTGTATTGCTATCTTGCAGAGATTGATAAAGATAATTTCCTCTTAATGCTATAAAAAAAAATTTTTACTCCTGTTATTTTTATACAAAATACATATATATGAATATAGAATGAACATGAACATAAACATGAACATGAGTGAATTCAAAAATTTTTTGTTCAAAAGTAGATTTAAATTTATAAAAAAGTGCATTTTGTTGATATCTTTACTGTGATTTAGATATAAAATTATATTTACTTCATGAATTTTGTTATTTTTTTATTTTTTGTTCAATTTTTTTTTGCTAAATTGATTAATTGATAATCACTAATTATCAAAGACCTTAATAAAAAGTTGTAGCAAAAGAATTTGATAATTATTTTTAAATTAATATTATATCTAACTAATGATAATAGATTATGAGTACATAACAATACTGTATAATAAAAGTCTATAAGTTGTATGTATATAAATATTTAGTCTTTTACTATAAAAGATTTAGTTGTATTATATAAAGATTATAAGCTATATTCACTCAAGTTTATGTTTTGTTGTACTTACCAGGTATTTAAAAATAATTACTCATAATTTTTCAATTTAATTTTGTCAAAGCTACTTGAAATTAATACTTCATTTAGTATTTAAAAAAGAAAAAAAAAAATTAACAAATATTATCATAATTTGAAAAATGATATATCTTAGTCAACATATAAATTTTCCTGATTTTTATTTATTTGTATAATTTTAAAATAATTTTTTATCCAAATATCTGATATAAGTTTAATATTTTATAAATTACTTATTTCTATATTTACTTAATTCTAAAATTGTTATGCATAATTGCACAATTAGATAATTTTTATATAAAACATTGCAATGTAAACTGTAATAATTTTAATCAAGATTTTAATAATCTAAAGTTAGATTCAATATGAT